ACTATAATCACTGTATTTGGAGATGTAGTTTGTAAAGCCCCAAGAATTCATATAGAAAATTAATTTCTTCATGGTATTCTATAGATTTGATCTTCAAGGTTGTTGTTTTTTTTACCCTTTTATCAGTTGATGAGATTTTGCATTGGCTAAACTTCGTTCAGTAAATTAACAGATTGTTTGTCCTCAGTTACAAAATGAGCACTGAGCTGCTTTAAAATTAATTTGACAAACAGCAGTTGTTGTTCTGCCTTTAAGGTGTATTGTTAAAGTTAATACAATGATTTTACAACATTGGATTTAAGTCTAATTACTGTTTATCATTTAGGCGACAAAGTCTAACTCTTTTTTGTTTCTAGTCTGTAAAACCTGAGGGTTTTATGATTTGTTTTGGCCTCCAGCTTTTTATTTTCCAGTGCCTACCAGTTTGCTTTTCCTCTAAGACACAYGGTGTGTTATTATAACATTATGTCTGTTCTTTACAGGATATTTATTTAATTTATGTTTTTTTGTATCCAATTAAAATTATGTAGTTCTCATAAAAAAAGGTTCTTAATGAAAACATGTTGAGGAAAAGATCAAACACAATGAAAAGTACATATTGTTCAGACATTTTCTTTTGGCAGATTTTTTTTAAATTTCCTTTATTGTCCCTTGATGCGGAAATTAATTAATTAAGGGCCTTGCTCAAGGGCTCAGAGTGGCTGTTATAAGAAAAGGCTTCACTTCTTTAAACATGGACTCACATTTATTCAGACATCTCTTATTACAACTTTTTTTTGCCAAATATCCGTGTCAATTTAGGTTCTAAAAGCTTTAAGAAATCCGTGCGCAAAAACCACCTTCCACTGTGTTCATKTAATCATTTACTTTGCATTAGGTTTCAGAGGATTTCATTAAAGTTACCTGAACGTGTTGCTTTCATTGCTCCAACGCTGAAGACGGCTTCGTGAGTTGATGCTGTTGTGAACAAATTGAAGACGATCTATAGTGGGTTTGTTTAGTCATCAACTCTGGCCCTTTTTTCTGTTCACGTCTTGTTGTAATACAGGACCTCTCCTGTGGAGAACGTCAAATAAACGTCCCAGGAAGTGAACTGTGTGTTTCATTCATTAAAGTGCAACACTGTTTACAATTGYCGCAATGATCGACAAGAAAATTCCGCATTTATATAGTGTTATTACTTTATTTTGTATGGTTAAAAATACCACATGAAAGTAGGAGATGTAGGAATCTATTGAGTTTGTTTTACTGAATAGTTTAATTACATGTCAGTAATGCTTTCTATTAAAAAACCATATGACTAGCTCAAAATTTTAGTGTACTTCAGGGTTTTTTTACATGTAGATAAAACATTTTGTAAATCAGAGCTGTATAAAGTAATTGATAAAAATAAAAATACATTAACAGAAAAAGACTTGGGTAAAAATTAAGTTAACTGATAATAGAAGTACTTAAGTAGCTATGTAAAAGTCGTAAAACTGCTCACAATAATCTGGAAAGTAAAAGTACTTTTACACTCTCTGAAATGTAGTGTTGAATTTACTTAACCAAGTGTCAACTGGTTCCACTAAACCAAGTTGAGTAAATGAAGCAATTTCACATTTTTAAAAGAAATTATGTAAATTGATTTACATTTAAGCAGAATATGTAAATTCAACAATTCATTTTTAGAGTGCGTAAACAGCTCCTCTCATGAGTTCTGGACATATTTAAAGTTTTAAGTAAAGAAGTAAAAATATATTTTTTTATGTTTTGAATGTAAATAAATAAAAGCAGAAGTTATTAAAAAATACTATGTATAAATTACTAAATTAAAGATCTTTTAAAAATAATTACTTGAGTACTGTAACAGTGTTGTACTTTGTTACTATACACCTCTGTTGTAAAGCATAACAAACAAAAAAATGTAATTGTTCCTCTATTCATAAAGTATAATTACAGGTAAAAACATAATTTATATGACTATACTTTTTTGTTATACACTCTAAAAATGAATTGTTAACTGGTTCCACTAAACTGTATGTGTTACTTTCAAAATGCAGATGAAATAGTGTATATTCTTAGAACATGTTTTCAATAAGTTCTCAACAAATATTTTCTCTTAGGATTGTCAAAAAATAATAATAATAAAGAACACCAGTATGTGAAATTAACAAAGGAAGTGAAGTCTGTCCTCCCAGCAGCATCTTGTCACCTGAAATGTGACMCATCATTACCCTGTGATCCAGAGGTTGGCCAAACAATGAAATGCTGAAAACAAAGAGCTCACGTTTTAACCTGAAACTGAAAAGAGACAACATTGTGTCGACCCTTTGGCCAGAGTTGCTGACTGTGGAGAACCCTTTAAAATGGCCCCTCTCTCCCGTCCCATCCTGTCCCCTGACTCTTGTTTGCGACCCCTCCTGTCCTTTTCTCCATCCGGGCTGACTGACTAACTGACTGACTGCACTCATCCTGTGCCTTGTGGGGAAAAAAAAAACAAAAAACAAGAAACCAGCATCTGGATCAAGACTTTACTACATCTTCATCCTTCACCACATCCTCCTCTTTGGCTCAGAGAAGCAGGACCAGACGAAGGTCGGTGCATTCATGAAGTTCTGAAAGGGTCATAAATTTGTTGTCAGCCATGTTTGCTGCGTTGAAAGGTTGAGCTGAATGGACAAACTCTAGCATGTGTTTTTACTACAGGAACAGTCTGAACGTGTTATACCGAATGTTCCTCTGAACTGAGTGATTTCACAAAAAAACCTGATCAAACCAACCACACCATCAGATGACACGTGTTTGCGTCTTTTATACTTCAACAGCAAGGAATGAACCCCATTATTTAATCYGAACAAATATCAGAATCAGAATATCTTATTGATCCCTGATGAAAATTACAGTTATCAGTGTGCATTGCCAATGCAATGCACACTATTGTGATTCGTTTCCCATCCAAGTCATCTCCACTTTGGCACACTTCTCCTCCTGCATACTTTGTCCTAGAGCTGCCATTGCAATTTATATCTGTAAAGCTCCTGTGCCAAATGATGGCTRTGCCTTTTGGTGYCTGTACAACTTATACTTTTTGAAATATTAATGTTTAAAATCATATAATGCCAGTCAATGGAGCTTTGTATTGGTCCAATATTGCCCCTTGCTGCATATACTCAGTACTGAACCATAATTTTAATAATATTTAAACTCAGTAGTTCAGTGATTACAATACTAATATGATTGTATTTTGATGTTTTATTAAAATACTGTCCTAAGATTACTCTGTTGTTGTAATATTATGCAGTTCTGTGTCAACAATTGTATTGGCAATGTGGCCTCTTTCTGCACACATACAAACCAACCCCTGCCACCACCTTCTTCCACCACCTTCTGCCACAGCTCCATTGGTCTAATGATCTATGTCATGGACTTTCATGTGAGAGATCAGGGTTCAAAACCCAGCTAATGCAACTTTAACAACCACTCTCTTCCAACTTCATATTGTCACTCAATTACCTTAATTACAAACACCTGTTGACGTGACAGGAACAAGCTGGTATAGAAACATATTTGAAATTGGTCAAAGTCCAATGCTGCGGGCAATGACATGCTACATGGCAATGCACACTTGYTTTTACATCGTAAAAACCCATGTCCAGTTACAGCTGCAACCGTTCAAGTATGATAATTAGAATAAAAGATAAAATGTAAAAACTCTGGAGGAAAATGTAATAAACACTTACGTATATAAATAAATTTAAGCAAATATAAATATAGAAAGAAAAATATGAAGAGTATGATTATGTGAAAAATATTGCACATGGTTGAAATTCCCATAAAGATGTTATAAGATGATAGATGATGTGCACACATTAGCGCTTACATGAGTAAAGTATAGATAAACTAAAATGCACAGATGACCAAATGTTTCACATAAAACTGTCAGAGTCCACATTTTAACTTCTCAGTAATCAGTTTTCATTGAGATAGTTTTACACTACCACAGCCAATGTCTGCTTATTTTTTAGTTTTAGCTTAACAGTTTATTCATTTTCAATTAAAAACAAAAATTTCAATACAAAAAAATCTCATAAAATGAAAGGAAGCAGAAGAAAAAAAATCTTAAAATATCTGCCCTTATTTAACAAAAAATATAACAAAAATTAAAATACATGCATATTTATACGTGTACACATACATACACATATTCATACATACAAGTACACATACTCACATGCACATATATAATTTTACACCCTCTTCAGCATAAAATAAATAAACTAACCCCTCAAACATCAGCTTCATATATTTTCAACAATTTTGCTTTTGTCATTTTACCAAATAAATTAATCGAGTCAGCATTTTTATAATCGCTGTTCAAGTTATTTCACAATCTTATTCCTTGAACTGAGGTACATCTACCCTTCAAGTTTATTCTAGTTTTAGGTTTTATAAACATTTTAAATCCTTTCAAATTATAACAACTTTGCCTCTTAACACAGATTGAATATTCAAAGGCAATACATTTTTATGAGCCCATAAGCAACAAAATCTTATAAGCAACCAATCTGAAATATCACTAAATAATTTTATAATGTTTGTTGTTTGATATGACAATGCTTTACAGAGTAAAAATTTTAAAATGTTAATTAAAATGCAAAAAATGCTTCCAAAGAGCCTCATATTGTCTTTCTGTTGCTTTGCAAGTCTAAAAAAAGTAGTGCAATAAACATAAAAAATTCAAAAGGTAAGAGCCAATCACCTGGCATCGAGCAGAGGTCCCAATAATGACTCTTCTGCTCAGAAAAGAGGCTGAGAGCCGACTCACCCACAGCCACGAGGGGCCGAGAACACCAGGAGGAGTCGTATGATGGTCGACAATGACGGGCTGAATGACAGAGAGCTGTCGACTGTGGTGCAGAAGCTTTGGGACAACGACGTCAACCGACTCACGCCCGGAAAAGACTACAGGATCTCTCTGCAGGTGGTCCCCCCCATCCCACCCCCACTTTACTGTCAAAAAAGCAACCTTATGACCTGTCTGTAAAAAAAAGCCATGTAAAGTAGCTGGATTCTGACCTGAGAATAGGTTTAGTTATCCTAAAGCAATGATGCTTTATTTTTATTTTGAGCATTTAGGAGTAAAGCCCTAAAATGTGACTGTTTTTGTCGCTGCAGGGCAAAGCTGGGGACAGCATGGGCGTCAGCGACAGTGACGCGGCAGGATTTCCTCTGTTTACGTTTGTTGATGAGAACATTTTCAAAAAGGAGACATTTTTAGGTGAGAGGCTGGGGGTGTGGGAAACTGTCAGCAGACTCATAAGTAGCAGGAGATTTCTGCACATCCAGTCTTTTATAACATTTATTCATGCAGGGCGTGCATGTCACATATTCCTGAACATCTGCTCTGTTAGGTTCAAACATGATTGGTTCACACATTCCACGTGTCACTTCCTGTCAGAGTAAAGCTCCTCCATCTAATCTCCTCRTGACGAGCCGGAGCAGCTTTATGTTGTGTAACCACAGAACAGTTGACTGAAACTCATTGTCCTGACTGTTTTCTGCCAACATTTGCTCTGTTTTCAGATGGGACTTATGTAACACCTGGTATTAGATCAGATTTCACTTTAAAGTTAAACACACCCTCTTAATTAAGCATTTGTTGTCCCAAAATAGAAGCTACAGTATGAATCAGTGAACACGTTATTGACATAAATACTGAATAAAATCATACAATCTTCATACAAACACAATGAAACAATGAACAAAAAGGATAAAAGCAAAGCTAGAAGTTTTTTTCTGTTTTGTTAGGAGACCTCAGCCTGACATCATGGCTGAACAGAGGCTGGGCCTAAAAATGCAGACTGACTCAAGGAGCTTTAAAAACTTTTTTTTATTAATAATTTTATTGCACATCTATAATATGC